ATGGGTGAGAATCCTGCACCAAAATGTTACTACAAGGGTTATGGTTAATGATAAAGTGACCCCCCCCATCCCATTAGAAATATTTGTTCGTCAAGGAGATCCGTTGGCTCCTTTCCTCTTTGTCATTATTATGGAGGCTTTGGCAGCAAACTTGCGTCATCATAAAGATATTCGTCGAATACATGTCATTAGTATACCGGAGGAGGCAATTTCAGTTTGCTCTCTTTTTGTTGATGACCTTTCCCTTATGGTTGACGCTACTCATGAGAACAATGTAGAAATTCAAAACTTGATGGATAGATTTTGCTGCCTCTTAGACATGAAAGTCAACTGGGGAAGTAAAACAACTGGTTAAAGTGGTTGTCCCTGGATACCCCTATAAGGGTATTAGGAATTTCTCTATGTGCTGAAGGGAAACCAAAGAATCATAATGAATGGATCTCCCAATCACCCAAAAATGGAAGTGTGGAGGAATAAACATACTTCTATTTTCGGACGTTCAATGATCCTTAACGATGTCATCCTGGCATCCATTTGGTATAAGTCAGGGATTTGGGCTATGGACAAAGACTTCCTTAAATCTCTCCAGCGTCGACTGACTGCCTTTCTATGGAGGGGAAATCATGAGTATAACGGTGTCATCAGCAGGGTAGCTTGACAGTCTATTATTCAACCAAAAGTGTGGGGTGGTTTGAGGATTCTTGATCCTCTACCACAGGCTAAGGCTCTTTCAATCCAATGGTTTCAACGTTTATTATTCATCCCCCAAACCCCATTGGCACCTCTAGCTTTGGAGCAAATGAAACGCCCAGCACCCCCTACGGCCGAGGGAATTGACCCGTTAACACGGTTGGAGAACCGTTCATGGACTATTCCAAGGGGGATCTCTAAATCAGCAACAACATCTACAATCTCAAGTAGGAAAGCTGTTAGACAAGATTTGGAGAATGACTCATTTTGGGTCTCTATGTTAAAGATTTGGAGACAACTTCCTTTAACTGACAAGCTATCGCCAGAAAGGTGGGAGGAATTGTGTTAGCAACCCCTATTTGATAACAGGTGGATTCGGGATTCACAAGGTTATGTTCTCCATTGTATGCACTCGCCTTGGAAGGGATGGGTTAGAAATGGTATCATAAGGATAAAGGACATATGGGATAAGGATACCAAGGATTGGATAAATCCATCTAAACTTAGGGGGCAACTAAAGTACTATCATCATCCGATGGAAGCTATGGAAAAGGTAATTGAACTCATTCCACTCGAATGGATTCGTATTCTTAAGGGCGGCCCCAAATTTGGGACAAATGACAGGGTTGCTCTCAAGGCTCAACCCCAGGAAATTGGCATAATTCTAGACCATGATCCAAATGGGGGTTTTCTTTTACATATTTTTTTTTTATCATCTACTAATGTTGCAGTGTCAATAGATCAATGAGAAACAAGATGGGTCTAGGCTCAACAGATTTTTAGGATAAGGGTAATCAGGAGCAAGGATTCCTGTGTAGCCTTTAAGCCGGACTGCCCCATCTCGGAATTCCCTCTTGACCCGGCTAATTGGGTATGGAGTTCAGTGACAAGAAAAGGGCGACATAACAGATTTTTTAAGAGGAATATTCACTCGTTTAAAGTCAAATCAGCGTATCGTATGCTGCGACCCAGAATCAATCTAAAAGATAGGGTCTCTATTAGGTGGATGAAACATCTTAATATAAGTAAGGAGGAGTTGAGGTCGGTCCGCTGGTTCAAAACAGTCAAAGACAAACCAGCAAAAATAGTTTCTCTCCAATGACAAATTGAACATAGGTGTCGACTGACTCATTGACAGATCCTCCTTAGAAAAGAAAGGATTAACAACAAGATGGTGTAAACTTTGTAAATCTGCTTTCCCAAGTATAATATCTTCGGAAACCATAGAGCATATCTTTATGGAGTATCCGGGCTCAATCTGACTTTGGAGGTAGTGGGACCGTATCTGGTCATAACTAGTCCCACAGGTCAAATGGCCATGGGGATGGAAAGTTATCCTTCTAGAGACTTGGAGCCCGGATCCAGAATTAGTAGAAAATAATGAAGAATTTGTGGATAACCTGTTCCGAATAGGGAGAAGAGCGGTAATGTGGGTTATCTGGATGAGGAGGTGCACTTATGAATGGGAAGGGGCTAGGCTAGATGGCCCAGACTTCACAGAGACAATTAAACAACAAATTCAAACAGACATTTTGACGAAGTGGGACCGAATAAAAGAAAAAGTGCAATTTCTCTCAGATACAACCGAAATTCAGAATCATTTTTAAAAATTCACAAGTAAGTGGCTGGGCGGAAACCAGGGAAGGAGAATAGGGAGAGTTTTTTGGAATGGGGCAATGGATGATGATGATGCTGGGCTCAAAAGGGACTATAAATTGGTTTTTGATGATTGGACCACCATTGAGACTTCAGTACCTATGCACCCCTTATCAGACTTCCCTGATCCCTTCCCCCCCCTTTGCATCTGCTCTTGTTCCAAGTTCTTGGTATGGTTTATAGGGGTTAACATTTCTAGTTACAACAGTGATATCTGGCGTCGTGGAAAGGGATGTTTACTAAGTTCTTCTGCTGAAGGATATGTCAAAACAGTAGCTGGCTAACTCAGCTCTCAATCGAGTCATCACTTTTATCAGGATCACTTATCCACATCAGTACCCGGTCTAAGTTGGGAAATCTGGCGCCACTCAGATGAGGGTGAAGAGGTACAAGGGACACTGGGCCCGTTTCCCAGCATCATCGGTTTCTATTGCTCATCATTATATGTCAAGGGACGCTGGACCCGCTTTCCAGCAGGTGCAGCTCCCCACCAATAGATTGGAGCCCCTAGTGGTGCTGGTAGGAGTGTATGCTCTTATCATCACTCCTATTAGTAACCATGAGGTGGTGTTTTCAAAACGTCCATGCGTCTCCTGCCATCCCCAACTTGACCCCAACATGACACCCCAACCAATCACAAAACACTAGGCTGCTGGCTCCCCTTCCAAAAGGGCGGGTTGTGTAATCCCACCGTCCGTTTGTCAGATGATCAACAGTTTGCAGTGATCCCACAGTCACACAGGTAGCAGAAAACTATACTACACCGCTGCATGTGGGCCGAGACCACTATAGAATTGTGAGGTCCGCGGCCTCGAGTGGAATTTCATTGCATAAAAGAGAAAACAAAAAAACAAAAACAACAACAAACAGCGGTGGAGCATGGAATTTTGGCAGGTTCCCCTCCCCCCCCCCCCCCAAAAAAAAAAAAAAAAAGGAATTTTGGCGGGTCGACAACGAAAGTGCGTGGAGGCGGGGAGCGCAGCGGTTGGCGCAAAATTAGCGCTCTAAGTTAGCGCTACCGGCGGCATGCCGGTTCGGTCGGCCCAGGGCCTTTCAACGCGAAAGCTCCGGGGCAATACGGCAAAGGTCCTTCTCGACAACCCCGAGAAACTGCCCTAGTGGTAGGGGACATCTCAGCCTTCGACCGACCCGAATAGATGGGAGGCGATAGTGAAGCATGTGAAAACAAGCGAACGGTGTGCAAGTTGTGAATGGGTGTGCGCCGCATAGGCGCCCACCACTGATACGAAAAGGGGAAGGGAATTTTCGAGAGGAGAGCAAGGAACCAAGAACAAGACACAAAGGACTGAGGAGTGCAACGTGAAGATGGTGTCAACACAACGGGATGAAGAAAGAGGGAGACAAGCAGGTAGATCTACGCCGCGAAAGAGAGAAGTGCCAATTTCGGAAGATGCAAGAATCAAGTTACTAATAAGTAAATGCTTCGAAGATGACGTTTACCCTGAGAAATTCAACCACGGAGAATTTGTGATTGAAAATGGGGAAAGAGTTTTCAGGGTGGATCGAACTTTGGACGATAATCTTCCAAGGCGTGGCTCGGGACTTGCCTCTAAAAGTTAGAGAGAAAAATCGGACCTTCAACCGGGAACGGGGAAGGATTCACGGGGAGGGACCAAACGTGATGTCATATATAGCGAAGTCACGGGAGGTAGCACAATGGATGATAGCAAGGGCAGAGGATAAGGTAGTGATAAGGAGGGTCGAATACGTGATGTTATTTAAACCGTGGATGGCCAGGAAGGAGTTGGAGGAATGAAGGAGATTGGAAGATGACACACGTTTTTGGGTGATGGCCTTGAGAGTGCCAGTAAGAGCCATGTTCCACCTTGAGGACATGATAGGAAAAGGGGTGGGAACGGTCATCAAAGCGCACCCAGCGGAGCCAGACAAGACTCACCCAAAGCTTATGAGTATGAAGTTTGACTTGATTAGAGAAGCGGAAGCGAGATTCGAACATGAACTCCCAATGAAGCTCGACGACAAAGAAATAATCAAGATCAAATTAGTGTGTAAAAACACACTGTGGTGCGAGCGATGTCGTTGGTGGTTTCACACCGCCACGAACGGATGACCTTGGGGGAAGAAGGCATGCAGGAACAAGAAGGAACGGTACAATCAGGATCAAGAGGACGAAACAATAACAGAAGAGAAGAATTTCCAAATGAGAGAGAGATTCAAGACGCAACACGAGATTTCCCAACTTCTGGCAACGTGAGAGTTGAGTCCTCTGCAAGTGGTGCATCAAGAGTGAATCCAAGAATGAGCGTCAACGAACAACAACAATATCATCAAGCGTCTTCTCAGTAGCAGAACAACGGTCAAACCCGGTCAACGGCTCTCCAGCAACAGTCGCTGCAAGGTCAGGGGCAGGCATACCAGGACGCGATGTACACCCAAAACTACGCGGGCCAAAACGCGTACTACCAGAACAATAACTCTTTGGCGTGGCAACAACAACAAGCGGCGAAATCTGGAACTATGCAGCAGCATGGCAAGCGCTGGGAGCCGGAGCATACACCTATCAACAACAAGGCCCAACGGGGAACATGACGCTCCCGGGATATTACCCAGGCCCTCAACAAATGGGAATGGGTAATATAAATCAAGTACCAATCCCTTCAGGAGGAGGACAGTTTGGGATGAATGCACAAGGAGAGAGAATGGAGACAAGGGAACTAGCTGGAACAAGGACAAGCGAGGGGGGAAGCGCGATGGACGTTGAAGCCAGCAGGATGCTAGGGAAGCGGAAAGCAATTGTACAACATCGAAGAAAGGAATCACAAGGACAAGTGGAGGACAAGTACGAACAACGGACGGAGGAGCGAGATAGCGAAGAAGATGAATCAGAGCAGGGTGACAGTGACTTCAGAGATATTCCTGGAGGTGTGGAGGCAGCCATGAGAGGAGAAAGACAATTTGAGGAACGCTACCTGTTGCCCTTCGTCTATGCACTCTCCGGACAGGACGTGTTTGTACTAGGGATGAAGAACAGTGAAGAAGCGATGTTCCTCCCAGCAGCCCCTCTAGTGGGAACACCATCTCACGAAGAGATTGTTGCAATCGTACGGAGGATCTACGAGGACAAGTTCAAGTTCAGAGTATTCCCCGAGGATATGATGCCCAAGTTGTCCATAGAGCTCCATGACGACAAACGAATCAAGTACCTCATTCCGCTCGTGGATGCCCGCATTCCTTCGGAATACTGGCAGAGTATGCAAGATTTGGGTATGAACTATGTTCTGCTGAACAGTTTCACCACGGGCGATCCTTCGATCCTGTCGATGGTGATGGTAGAGCCGGGAGTTCAGGCCCTCTTCCTCCGAAGACTGAACGAGCGGCTGCCAAGGAAAAAGAATTTGAGTTCTCTGTACCTGGCAGAATGTCTCAGGGAGAGATGGTCGGAACACCTACAGTTGGTAACAAGCAGTGAAGGGCGTATCCAACAGGCGGCCACAGCAAGCGGGAATGGTCAAACTTAGGTGCGCTTCCTGGAATGTGCAAGGTCTCGGAGATACAGGCGGAAGGTGCAAATGCTCGAGACTGAAGTCGTGGATTCATAAAGAAGGTATTGATATTGTATTTATCCAAGAAACTAAGCTATCTGAGAGGAAGTTAGCGGAGATCAGGGACTGGTGGGACGATCCCCAACTGTGGGCGCCGGCTAGAGGAACGAAGGGAGGAGTAACAATATTAACACATAAGAGATTAGATGCAATATTAATCAATTTTGATTCAGATATATGGGGTAGATGGAGTTGGATTAAATTGGGATTGGGAGATGAGGACTGGATCTTTGCGACAGTTTACGCACCCAACGAACCCGGAGAAAGATTAGCCTTTTACGAATCCCTACCACTGTGCCTACCAAATGAAAGCAGGATGGTCATAGTCGGAGATTGGAGCCAGACTCTTAATCCTGGCCTAGATTCAGAGAGAGCTCACTGCACACGAAAAGACCGTAGCTATCTGTTGAGATGGACTCAAGCATAGGGGTTGAAAAATATCTACATGGAGAGATATCCGAGAGACCCGGGTTTTACGTGGTTTGGGAACTCAACGCGGATGGCGGGAGTAAGTAAGAGACTGGATTATTTCCTAATTTTCGAGGAAGCAGCCACACGGAGCACTAATGTGAAAACGCAGAATGCAATATTCTCCGACCACAAACCTGTGATTTTGGAGATTACAGTAGGACAAGACATACAGTGAGGACCAGGTTAATTTAGGCTCAACACCACGGACCTGGAGGACGAAGGCGTGGTAAAATGGGTGGAAACTTTTTGGCAGGAGTGAAAAGGTGCAGAACAACATTTTGAATCTAAAGAGGAATGGCTAGATGCGGGCCTGAGAATTATTTCCTGCAAGCTAGATGTTTTCTCCGTGATAGCTGCTTACAACCGGAAAGAGAGGGAAATGAAGGCCAGTGTGGAGGAAGCAGAGGGAAATATTACTGGTCATCCAATTTCAGTATTATTATGTACGCAAGAAAGGGAAATTAGATTAAAGCGGTCGGAGGAACTGCAAAGTGCAAAAGAAAAGAGATGGAAAAACATTCTCTCAGTGAAAGGGATAATCCCTCTAGACCGACTGACGAAAGACTCCTTCAAGAAGCTACTACCAAGGAGGAAATCGGTAACCATGTCAGAGCTGAAACACCCGCTCCTACCATCAATGCCAGTCGCAAAGTCACTCGAGGAGTTGAGCGAGTATGCCAAAATCTATTTTCAAGATATTCTCACGTCAAGAAGACAGCTGGAAGATGTAGACACAGACATGTTCGAATTTTCTACTCTATGGGACAACCTGCAAGTGACACTGACAGAACAACAGAGGAGAAGCCTCGACAGACCAATAACTGAGGAGGAACTAAGACAGACTGTGAAGGAGATGGTTAGAGGCAAAGCGTCAGGCGATGACGGACTACCAATTGAATTCTACGAGTGTTGTTGGGAGTTTCTGGAAGCTGACTTAGTTCAAATGTATAATAATATTCTACAAGGGGGGCGTCTAGGTAAAACAATGACAAGGGGTATCATAACTCTACTGTTCAAAAAGGGTGATGTAGCGGAAGTCAAGAACTGGAGGCCAATCTCCCTTTTGAATGTAGTGTATAAGATACTAGCGAAGTCATTGGCGAAGAGACTTGGCCCAATGTTGCCAAAGCTGGTGGGCAGCGAACAAGGAGCCTTTGTCCGCGGAAGATCAATTTTCGAAAACATTCTCATGGCTATTCAAACTTTGGAAGTGGTGGAGGAAGGTGACCTAGATATAGCCATCTTAATGTTGGATTTGGAGAAGACTTATGATAGAGTTAATTGGGAATTTGTGATGATGTCCCTGCGTAGAATGGGTTTCGGACAGAATTTCTGCAGATGGGTTAAAGTGTTATATGCTTACTCCTCTGCAACAGTGATGGTTAACGGTCAATGCGCAGAAGAGTTGAGTCTGTCAAGGTCGATGAGGCAGGGTTGCCCCCGCGCTCCTTTGCTATTTGTAGTACAAATGGAAGTCTTGATTAACAGTATTACGACAAATAACGCAATTAAAGGACTTCAGATTAATGAGAATGTTAACTGCAAGGTCAGAGCACTTGCCGATGACCTGCTTGCCATCTCAGTTAATGAGCCAGGTTCGTTGGAGGCACTTAAGTTGTGCCTAATGACCTACGCAAAACTGTCAGAGGCGGCTGTAAATTGGACAAAGTCAGTGTTTTTTCTCCCAGACTCTTATCAATTAAGTACGGATTGGGGAATGAAAAGAGCATGCAGTGGGGAAGCAGAGAGATATTTAGTGATCGAAGTGGCACTGGGGGACTGTTTGTCGTCTCAAGCGATCATTCGAAGAGAAGGTGACAACACGTATCAGGAGTTGGGGCCCAGCAAGACACCTATCACTCATTGGAAGAGCATTAGCTTTAAACTGCTCTGCATTCACCATACTGTGGTTCGTGTCAGCAATCAGTAGGCTCCCTGAGAACATGCTGAGGTCCATCTGCAAGGAGGCAAGAAGGTTCTTATGGAAACCTTTTGGGAGGAATGAGGATGGCTGTCTATCGAAAATAGCATGGGAAGAGGTTTGCATGGCAAGAGAGGACGGAGGATTGGGGCTTACTGATCCGGCACTGCAAAACAAGACCCAGTTGAGCGGTTGGATATGTAAGATCGCAGAAGCAGAACCACACAAAGACTGGGTTCTTCTAGCGGAACGGATCCTGATGGCGGAATGGGGTCTGAGCAGACCTCAAGACGTTTGGGTGGCGATGTTCTCAGATGCCTTCCTGAATAAAAGAGTGAAATCTCGCTTTTGGAAAGAAGTCATCACGGCTTGGAAAACCTTAAAACCAACGGTCCTCAAGGAGCCAAACTCGAAACAGCAGGTGTTGGCACAACACTTGTTCGACAATCCAAACATCAGAGGCTCGGAGGGAAAAATGTTTACTGCTAGAGCAGGTGCAGGAAACTTCGGGTACAGATGGGTGCAAAGGGGGATAGCTACCATAAGAGATTTGTGGGAAGAGGAGGTAAATAGGTGGAGAACAGAAGAACAGATCAAGGAAACGCTGGGGCAGCTTCCTCTACAACAGGAAAGACAAAAGGCACTCATCCAAGCAATACCGGAAGACTAGAAGCACCTCATTGGACCGGATGGAATAAATCCCCCGGGCACGTGGTACACAAAGTGTGAAGACCAAATGAGGAGGTCTTACCAGATCCAGTCATGGGAGGAACACCCACCGGGGAAATGCGTGTTGGAGGTATTTGAAGAGAAGCAGATGAAGGTGAACAGCTTACAGAGCTTTGGAACGATTGAGAGAATGGGGGTGAACGACATGGTAGAGTGTAGAGTTCGTAACAGCGGGGGAGAAAGCAACAATCTCTCACTGGTAGCAAATGGTACGGAGGTGCGAAGTCTGCGAATCAATCCAGAGGGTTGGGGGTGGGAAGTTGAAGGGAAGATAGTAACAGGAATCCAGAATTTAGACTATAGAGTAGCTACTAGAGTAACACATAGACTGCAGAGGATGTCAACTAGGCTATCTGCTAAGTGGGAGAAACATAGATGTATATTGGAAGCCCCAGAACAGGAAGAGTACGATCAACTGTGGGAACAGCTACAACTGATACCTTCACAAAAGTGGGCGTCATTACTGTGGCTACAAGCGCACTCGGCAACACCAACAGCAATGTGGCTGAAAGAAAGGGATATGAAAGATATCCCCACAAAGTGTGACTTCTGCGGGTGGTTCTACGAAAACGAAAGACATCTGTGGTGGGCGTGCCCAAGATCTCATAAGTGGTGGAGATGGTGACTTTTTCACTGGAAGGAGATCACTGGAAGAAACAATCCCATGGGAGAGCGTTGGGCTCTGTCAGGCTTTCTGCCTCAAGATCTCTCAACGAAACAGGGGTGGGGATATGTTGCTCAAGTAGCTAGGGCCTGTTTTATGAGCGTGATCTGGAAAGATAGGAATGGAAGGAGATTTTCGGGAGAAATCATGTCAGATCAACAGGCAGAGATATTATTCAAACACCGCCTGACAGAGGAAATAAAAGCGGATTGGACCAGGAGAGCAAATAGGGGGGAAAGGTACCAGGGGAAGTGAATGGTTTAGAAGGACTTGGCTCAGAATACGCGGATAGTTGACATCTCTCACGAGAACAGATTGGTTTGGGGTCAATGGATAAGGGAGTATGACGGGATGCATCGACGCTACCAACCCTCTAGTTGAGGGTCCTGGAAGGTAGAACAGTAGGAATAGTAGGGGAGGGAAGCTATAGTAATATCAGGGGAGAGAAGCTACCAACCAGGTCCACTGGGTTGGATTTAACTCAGCCGCAGTAGGCAAATTAGGGGTGGTGGGTGGTAGAGTGGCATGATACTGAGGAACAGTAAGTGTTCCAACGGACCGAAAGGTCGGTACCGGGCCGCCTGTAGGCCTGTGCGGTAGGTTAAGTAGGGCAAAGTACGGTTGATTGGAGATATAAGGAAGTAATACAGTAGGTGCTCATTTGAAAGCGGTATGATTAATCGGATGGACTCGTAAGCGAAACTGGCTAAAGCTGCCAGAGTGACACCGGTTGAATTGTGGGTCCCCGGCCCGACATCCTTTTTTTTTCGTAATGAAGTGCTAAATCCTTCAAAAAAAAAAAAAAAAAAAAGTACATGGCGGCTGTCGAAGGCCGTCCCTGGTCGGCCGCCGTCCAGGCTGCGCCCCCTCGCCCCGCGTGGTATAAGTGTATCTCGGCTTATATCCCGCCGTGCATGTATGCATCCGGACGCAATTCTGTCCAAAGTAAGTAAAAACACGCGTTTGATATCCGATGGAAGATCTGGCAGCAACGAATACAGACCCGAGTTCGATCTGCAATCGAAGCAAATGAGTGAAATACTATACTACAATTCTGAATTTTACCTACGAATAGGGCCGGTTCGT